AAAGCACCACTCTTTAAAACGATTATAACTTTTTTCATATAGTTTTCTTGATTTGCTAGGTAATAAGTTTAATGACGCTGTATTTGCTATTTCACTAACTTCTGGTGGGGTCCCAACAAATTCTTCTTCATCACTATCATCTATTTTTCCAATAATATCACTCATTTTTAAACTTTGTTTAAATGTCAAAATTAATTTTTGACTGACATTTCTAGAACTGCAGAGTTGCATTATCCAAATCATAGTAGTCGTGATCGCGTATGTTTGAGGCATTTACGTTTGTGTTTATAAATTGTAATCATATGGCATTTTAGAAAAAAATGCATTTTCTAGTAATTTCGTAATCCAGTACATAATAAATATGATTGATAATAAAATAAAATCCGCAATTCTTTGAAACGTATTACAATGTCACAGAAAAAGGACTAAATATTTCGCTCATTTGAATGTTTATGTTTGTCTTAATCACAAACCTCTGTACTATAATGACATATAAGTGCAATAAATATTTATTGCACTAGTGCAATAAAGATCCACTTTTTCTAGTAAATATAGTTCAATAAAATTGTGTTTATTGCATGAACGTAGAAAAAAGTTTTTTCAGTTGGTTTTTTAAGTTTTACTCGAAAATCAGGCTTCTTTCAAAAAACATAAGAGAGTAGTAATTTGTTGAATATTGAACAGTAAAGCAGTGGCGTACTATTTTATTTAGAAAAATATGCCATCGATACCCTGTATCTCCGCCACTGGAGCATGTAAATTTTAGGAAAAGCCCTGAGATTTTGGACAACGTTCACATAAATACATGTGCCCAATTTCAAATTAGTTCAGTTTTTATATTTTTCAGTATTTTATTTTCAGTTTTTCATAATTTAAAAATTTTAAAATATTTTTTTAATTTTAACACCCTGTATCTTTTTAACGAAGCGTCCTAGATAAAAACTTTATAGGAAAGACTTCTCTTAAAGTTCGCCAAAGAATACGAGGTTTCATTTTTGATCACCATTTGTGAATCACCCTGTATAGTTAATATATCATGGTGATCATATCGCATGTATATTTTTTATACATTTACACAATATTACTGGAAAAGAGTACCGATACCTCGTCAAAGCGATATGATATGGGTTTTCGTTAAAGTATAAAGGCAGAGCTCGGCTCTAATGTCGCCATGCGGAAGGGACTAACGCGTAAACGGGAAGTATTACTGGTCCTCCGGTAATGGCTACTAACCCGCAGGCACTTTTAAATTATGCTGTAATGGAAAACACATGGGGAGAGACCGATACTGGTCGGTAATGTAATTCGAAATTGGGATTTTTCAGTTTCTGAACAAGGCCCTGGTCAAATGTGCCAGCATGAATCATATTTGATGAAAAAATAAATCTACTGCTGCTCGTATTTTTTAAATTGTAGGAAGTGAATATTAATTTTCACAAGACTCGTTTTTAGATTCAATGTGTTCTTGAGGGACAAAAAACTAACAAACGTAGATGCTTTATTATCTGCTCAACTCATTCGTCATAACTGAATAAATAATTGTAAAATAATGTGACGAAGCATTTTGGAAAAAACTTACACATCAATTAATAATTTTAGCACCTATTCATAAAAGATGAACCACCAGTTTTTTCATATTCTGCGCGTTATTTGTTTCAATTCAATATTCTACAAAACGTTTTCCTTCACACAATCAAGGAAAAAACACCTACGATACTTTAGGCTTTTTTTCGCGAGTGAAGTCGTATATTGTAGTATGTGTAGTATGAGTGAATATTACGTTTTTGCGAGAATAGTCAGTCATTTAAACTACTATGTGACGTCACCAGTTTAGATCAAATGACTGAACTCTTCACCCTTCAGCTGAATATTCTGTTAGTATTATTCAACTAGTATTGTCAGCCGGTAACTTAACCTTTTTCTTTTTGACATTTTATTTGAATGAGGATAAAAATCGTTCAGCAAAATGACGGATTCTGATACAGATGTTTTA